AAAATTGGATATTTAATAATGACTACTTTTGTCGTTTTGAATGCTCGCGTCCAGGTAGGCTTGAATGGTAGGAAATTTAAGATAGATGCAAAGGAATTTTTGAGTAGACATTCTGAGAGCAAATACAAGTATGTGTCTTTGCGTTCTTTATTCGTATAGCGTACGGATAGATTGCAACGTTTAAGGCCTTGGGAAATTATAACTTTGTGCGAATTGTGCGTGATGGGGCAGAATAGCAACCATTATGCATTAATAAAACATGTTTAATAGTATGTCAATCAATATTTGAACAAAACCAGAATATAGACAGAGAAATATCACTGGCAAATGCAATGGAGACTGAAATAGCCCGTTCCGGCTTGTAAGCCGTGGTTAGCAGTCATACCCGACCGAATGTGGTGCACCACACAAGGTTTGAACTCGCAACCTGCCGGTTAGTAATCTAACACTCTACCCCATTCAGCCAAGGGCTCGTTAGCTTGCCTTTCGATCGGGAATATTAACATTGGCGGATTGGAGCTAACCAATCAATCAGAATATGCTGGTTGGTACGTAGCTTTCTAACTAAACGAATACAAAGCAGTTACTGAAGTTTATTTAGTAGTATTTGTTATCGCGTTTAACGTTCAGGGGGTACAATGTGGGAGGAGAGATGAGTTGGGCTCTGATGACGTTTTGCTCCTGCTTCCTCTCAAAAGTATCTGCGGGCGAAACATGACGATGTCCACAAGTAGAGTATTCCAAGTCTTAATTAAATTTTTGAGAAAAAAGCATATTTACGTTCAGTCTCGCACCAGTCATAAGTGGTTGCAGAGAACGTCCTCAAAAGTTTTTACTAGTAACCAGCTCTAAGAGGTCGCCGAGCGCGAGGCGAATGTCTTAACCGCATAGCATGCGAAAAGTTTGTATCAGGTCACCTTAAAAATATTTCTAATCCATAAGGAAGACATCAAAATTGAACAGTCGTGCATCGAGTCCACGATGTCATCCGCCTGCAGACTGGAAACAAACGCGGCGAATTTAACGTGAGTTATTCCTAATTGATAGTAGACTTTCGCTGCATCTACCGCCTTCTCTCCTCACTCACCCACTTGTGCCCAGCGTCGTGCAGCTAAATAGGCCTGGGCTTACTACGGCCATCTAAGAGGCATTCATTGGATGAGGACGGTGTTGTAAATATAGCCAAAGCTGCGATATCGCCGTCTAATTACGCATTGTGTGAGTCCCCAAGGAAGAACAGAACAAGAAGGGCACAAAAGTAGAAGTCTTTTTCCATACCTAGTGCAGAGTACTTATAGCAAGCAAAGCATACATAAAAATTGTGTTCTTGAGGGGTAAAATTCTGATTGACTGTCGGACTGGACAGAGTGATAGCGCAGAACACTAATCATGGACGGCG